TCTCGGGGTGCTCTTGGGGGAGCCCTGGCAGCGCAAAGGTCCCTGTGGGGACAGGTTGGGGTGTTCCCCGTGCCACCCTCCCTGGGCACYGCCGGGCCGTGGCTGGGGCCGTGCGACCACCAGGTGGCACCAGGAACCCACGGACACGGGCACAGGGACCAGAGAGAGGGGGTGACACCCGGGGACGGTGGGTGACACCCGGGGACGGTGGGTGACACCCGGGGACGGTGGGTGACACCCGGGGACGGTGGGTGCACAAGTACCCACAGAGGATGTGCACACAGGTACCCAGGAAAGGTGAATGCCCAGGTACCCACAGAGGGTGGGTGCTCACAGGGGGTCTCTGGACCTTACTTTGTTAATGAGGGTCGCTCAGCTAATGAGGATCCCTTGGCTAATGAGGGTTCCTTGGCTAACGAGCGTCCCTTGGCTTTTGCAGACCAGGGGCCCTGGGGCTGCCACACCAGCCCAGTGTGCCCCTGGCTCCTGGGGCTCCCCGTGCACCCTCTGGTGCTGCTCTCCTGCTCCCCAGACCCTTCAGCTTTGGCGGTCAGGGCACCTTTTGGGGGGACAAAGCCCCAGCAGCCCCGGCTGGGCAGGTGGAGCTGTGAGGGCAGTTTCAATGGGATCCAGAGATCCCTGGCTTTGGAGGCTCTGAGATCCCTCCTGTGGCTGGGGCAGCGTGACAGGAGCCGGGGACACCGCGCTGGGGTGGCGGGGGCACGCAGAGCAGGGCGATATTAATACACATTTTTCCCGTGGTGCTCTGGCACCATTTTCGGAGCCAAAGCCGGAGGGAGCTCCTGGCTGACACAGCCTGGGATTGTCCCTTCCCTGCTCCACTGTCCCCTCACCTCCAGACCCGCCGCTCCCCCACCGCTGTCACTCCCACAGCACCAGGACATGTTGCTGGAGCATCGTGTCCATCTGTCCTTGAGCCGTGGCAGCAGARAGGGGAGCTGCCTCCATCCCTGCTGCCATCAGCGCTCTTCGCAGCATCTTCTTCGCCTGGGTTATCTAATGGCTGTGGCAGAGCCTTTAAATGTCACCCACTAAAGAGAGCACCACAGCGTCCGGGCAGGGAGGGGATGCTGGGTGAGACACGATGGGAGAAACAGGAGCAAAACAGTATCGATTTCCAGCCAATTATCGCTGTTATCAAAGCGCAGCAATTAAAGGATGAGGCCACATCGCCGATTCCCGGCTGCCCMTCCGAGGCGAGGCGCGGGCTCTGTCACACACACATGAACTCTGCGCACACCCAAGGGCCTCGTTCCCTCCGTACATGTGTGTCCGTGTGTGGTCGGAGCACACGCGTGTGCTCACACACACACACACACACACACACACACACAGAGCAGTCCTGAGCTCCGCGGCGTCTGCCGAGCTTGTTTTGCCCGTGGAGTTAATCTCCCCAGCCCGCTTCACTGCCTCGTTCTCCGCGCAGCCAAGATGTGCGTCCATCTGGCTCTCGCTGAGCTCAGGGAGGGTGGAGGGCGCTGGGGACGGCTGGCAGAGCACTGCCCTGGGGGTYTCACCCGACGAGGGGCTGGAGCTGCGGGAACTCGGCTCCTTTCTCCTCCTCAGGTCGTCTAAATGTTTCCTCTCCGTGCGCCCGTCCCTCCTTGTCCCTCCTCCCTCCCACTGCCCCAAGGCGCGGGGTCTGGCTCCGACCCTGCTGCGCCCCAG